CTCTCTCTCTCTCTCTCTCTCTCTCTACACCCCTGCCCCTCTTCCTCGTTCTTTTTTGTTACCAACCCTCCGCCGCGCTGTTTCAAAAGCGATTTCAATCTTGCCTCCTTGGTCCGCCGCCGCGCTTTATCTTCTCCGTCTTTATCGTGTGATACGAGCGTTCACTCCGCGCGCTCGCTCCTCTCCAACTCCTCAAGGGACAGCGACGCTCGTCGTCGTAGTCGTCGAACAACGGCGTTTTCCAGGATCTCGCGCCACCAGGTGAGCCAGGTGGAAACGTTTGAAAATCCCTGAAATCCGTCCTGCACGACTTAGATCTGTTAAAGATATAAAATTGTTCAACGTAAAGCACGGTGTGTGACGCGTGTAAAATGTATTAGAAATTCTGACCCGGTTTCTAGTAAGTAAAATAGGGCAACCGAGTTATCTGGTCTGCAAGAAAGTCCAGTTGCTTGGTCGCGCGTGGCAACCAAATTGCATGTAGCTGAAATCTGGCGTGGATTGCAACGAAAGAAAAGGAGCGAATAATTTTTAGCTTGGATCTTTCAATGACGTTGATTTTTACGAAAATTCTACAAACTTTCGAGTGAAAGGAAAAATTAATTAGAATAATGTCTGCGACGAAAAGGCATAAATATTTAAATATTTCGCAAAATATTGTACGTGTTTCGCTGGATTATTCAAAAAAGTAAGATCGTAAAGTCAATCGTAAGAAAGTTGTCACGTTTATCAGTCCAGCCTTATCTAGAAAAAGAAAAGTAACACAAGTATTTTTCAAAATTATGAAGATTATAAAATAATGTTCCATTTCGCTATGCTGTAAAGAAAAATTATGAAATGCTATAAATTTTACGTATTAAACATGGCCCGACTAATCCAATGAATTATAAATACTAATAATGTTCAAGCACGTTCGACCGTTCGAAAAATTCGACATTTCCGAACTGGACGCTCCTCTAACTCGTATTGTACGTTGTGTTGCAGGATTTCGAGGGGACGGATGTATCCAAAAAGGAGGACACGTTGCAAGGATGGGCGGAGAAAAGCGTTTGGTCCATGGTGTGCGCCATGGAATTGGGTTTGATATCGAATGCCTCGCAGAACAACGTCTTGCCCGGCACGACGTTCGACGAACGATCGCACGCCAACGTGGCTCCCGCCACAGTTCCCAAATCGTTGTCTTTGATAAATAATAGCTTGGCTAGCGCGGCGAGCAAGTCGTCGAGGATCATTCGTTCGAAATGCAGGAGAAAGAAACGAGGCTTGAAACGGAGCTCGTCCAGATCCAAGAGCGAGTCGCCGTTTATCCGACATAAGAAAATGAAGGAAAATTTTTGCAAAGCCAGAAGAAGCTACGACTCGGCGACCATCGACAGCGACTTGAACACCGTCGACAAGTTCTGGAGATACGAAAGCTCGAAGAACGCGGAGCAGTTCCATTCCGACGAAAGTCGGAACGACGATCCGTCCGTATCAGCCGGTTATCGCGATTCCCTCGCGGCGAAACGCGACGATAACGATAATTTGCCGAATCAATCGGGTCACGCGGCAAACATCCTCCCAACGCGAGTAAACATTCCGCAGACTGGCACCTCCAGTCGATTGGTGAAGTCAGCTTGCACAGTGACCAACGACTTCACATCGCGCGATCATAATCGCTCGGTGGGAACCGATTTCGAAACGTCGAACACTGTTGACATCCAACAGAAACAGATGGTCGACGATTGCGACGAGGATGAACGATTATGCTATTCAGGAGAGGATCACAATGTTTCGTCAACGATCAACCATGACCAAGATAACGTATCGATGGAGGACCAGATGCAGTCGGTAGAATCGTCGAACGAACTATCGGAGACCGGAGACCTCGTTCTCCAAGAGTCGTCGAGTTTCGGCGTAGCGACGTTGTTGAACTTCGACGAGGCCAGACCGTCGAATTTTAACGAAGCGCCGTCGCTGACTCTTGACGAGAACGCGTCTTCGAGTTTCAGCGAGGTGCAGTTGCCGAATCTCGACGAGACTGCGTTTTCGAATTTCGACGAAGCGCGGTCGTCGAGTTTCGGGAAGCAGGCTGTATCATTGAACTTCGACGAAGAAGAAGGTAGATCGTCAAATCTTAGCGAGCTACGATCCTCGAATCTCGACGAGACTGCGTCTTCGAACTTCGCCGAGGCAAAATCGCCGAGTTTTGGCGAAGCTGCATTGTCGAGTTTCGACGAGGGTAGATCGTCGAATTTTGACGAGCAATCTTCGAATTTCGACGAAACTCGACCGGCAAGTTCCAACGGAGGGCAACTGTCGAAACTCGACGTCGACGAGCTTTCTGTAAACAAAAAAATCTCCTCGAACGAAGAGAGCGAACCGTCCAACGAAGACGAGCTGAATTATTCGATCGTGAAGAAGAGCAAGGTATCCTATGACGAGAATACGACAATCACGAAACCGACAATGAAGAAAGCCGTGAAGAACGAAGTCTCCCGAAAGAAAGGATCCACGTGGAGCAACGGAGGTTACGAGCTTAGAAGGATTACGCGAGGATCGATGAAAGTCAGCAAGAATCTGTTCGTTGGCAAATTGGTCTGGGGCCATTGCTCGGGATGGTGGCCAGGCGAGAATTTCAAAATTCTTTCTTTGTTTTCTTTTTTTTTTTTTTTTTACTTCAATTCCGTTCGTTTGAAAGAGGATTAACCATTTTAAGGAACTGTGTCAAAAGGACACAGGCTTTTCTTTTTTTTTATTTTATTATTTCACTTTACAAATGCTATATAAATTTATACGAAACACCATTTTTTCGAAAGAGAACTCCTATTTCTATATATAGAGTGACCTGTCCAGCGAATGAACGTTGCTCGTATCATGCGAAAAAATTAATACCTATCTCTGTAACTGCACTCTCTTCACGTTGAAATTTACATAGCACAGTCCCTGACTAAAAACAGCTTTTCTGATAAAACTCAGAGGCCTGAATGTAATTTGTTAATAATTTTTATTAACTGTTAATACGAATTGTTTAATGATTAATTAATTTGTTCTTCCCACTTTTGCTTCGTGTATCTTTTCCGCATACACTGTTTTATATGATATCTTTTTCTTTTCGATGATCTAAATTTATCGTGAATGCATTCGCTTAATTTGTCGCTTCTGACTGGCATTCAAAAATCCACTCGTTTTCCAATCGTTCGTTACAAAGAAGAATATTCTATCCCTCTTATAATGAACATTCAATGGTAAAAGCTAATTATTACCTATAACTATATATATAAATTACTAATATATATAAAATATAATAATAACTTAATAAATTATTAAATATTACCTATTCTTACTTGTTCTAAATATTATTTACTTATTCTAAATATTACCTATAACTATATATATATATAAATTACTAACATATATAAAATATAATAATAATTTAATAAATTATTAAATATTACCTATTCTT